TGGAAACCATCATTCTCAGCAGACTATCGCAAGGACAGAAAACCAAACACGGCATGTTCACACTCATAGGTGGGAATTGAACAATGAGATCACTTGGACACAGGAAGGGAAACATCACACACTAGGGCCTATTGTGGGGAGGGAGGAGGGGAGAGGGGGGAGGGGTAGCATTAGGAGATATACCTAATGTAGATGATGAGTTAATGGGTGCAGCACACCAACATGGCACATGTATACATATATAATAAGCCTGCACGTTGTGCACAGGTACCCTAGAACTTAAAGTATAATTTTAAAAAAGTGAAAAAAAAATAGTATGAAGAAAGCTTAATCAAACTAGTAATTGAGAAAAGTTTATTAAATATTATTGATGCATTATATGCAGAGAAAATATTATACTTTCGATGAGGTGAGTTTTTGTTTTGTTTTTCCTTGTTTTAGATTTTTGATGAAAGGTCAAACAATTCAAACTCAGTTTTGCCTTCTTTTGCTGTGAATAGTGTTAGACTAAGCTTACTTTGTGTCAGTGTTGGTAGTCTTCTTGGAGCGGTTTAACATGCCTTTTGCAGGACATCTCTTGAGGGGAGGAATAGAATGGAAGGATGCCATAGTCTCTTTCTCCTTTAGTCTGCCCCGTAAAATGCAAAGGCAGCTCATGAAAATTCTGATAATTTTTACTGAAATGTAAGTGCATTATTTCTTAGAAAATAAATGATATTTGTAGATTAAATGACTGAAATTTAAATTTAGTAATGATGGAAAGTAATCTATAATCTATAATAGTAATCTATTTCCATCTATATGTAAGATGGAAATCAGAGATATTTAATTTATGTTTTAGAACTTTTGTGTTAAATATTGTATGGTTCTACTTTATCGATGGTGAAATTGTCTTTATTTAATCTTCCCAGGAAATTGTGGCTGCAGAGAAGAAGAAACAGATTGTTGCAGAGCAAGTCATGATAGACCACTTATCTAGGTGGGAATTAGCAACTCACAATAGAAATCAATTCAGAAAATTTTCATTAAATTTCTTTTCATGCATGACACTCATATCCTTGGTCAATTAAAGGTTAGCTAACTCAGAGGTTCCCAGACTTTCTTTGTTCACTGCACTGTTAGTGTTTTAGTAATTTTTTCACAGCACTCTTAGACCAATAGAAATACCTAACAGTTCTATTTGTTAAGTATTTTTCTCTAAACAACTTAATAAGTATTTATTTGCTAACAACTAATGACCATTTAAAAAATAATACACATAAATTGAAAGAAGATATCCTTACTTTATTCTTACCAAGGATCTGTATGCATCTTATGGGCACTGCACAGTCTCTCAAATCCTAGAATCATTTACAATGCTGCCACTTCCACTTTATATTCCATATTGATTTTCACCTGATATTTGCTTTTTATCATAGCAACTATAGAAAACTCAGCTCTGCAAAGATGTAACATCGTGGAAGCAGTATAGTGTGCTGTCTTGTTGAAGCTGTGAGCTACCCTGAGGTTGAATTGGTAGTTTACTTGGTGTGTAAGTGATGTCAAGTATCACTGAGTTTCCCTCAAAAATTAAAAATATTCCATAGTACCCCTGTGAGTTCATTGTGTTACCTCAGGGTTCCTTGGTGCAGTTTGAGAACTGTGAGACTGTTAAGAATTTTAAAACTCGTTAGAAAACTAAAATTTTAACATATGCATTACTGAATTGCATGATAATATGGAAATATGGTAGAATTTCTGAAGAGGTTGGAATTATCTACTTCAAGTAAAAAGTAAGACTTAGCTTTGAAAAAACTGTTTAGTTACGTGGCAGAAGGAATGAATGACAGAAAGAATGATGCATGTTTCTACATGCACGTTTTTCAGTGAATTCTTTGAAATACCTAGAGTCTCCCTTGTCCCTCCTTCCATTGTCTCATGAACTTAGTGTTTTCACCTCCACCATGCCTCCAACAACTTTTTTCCAGAAGTAGTGAGATCCATATTGCTAGACTAATGATTTCTCAGTTCTCATTTACTTGGCCCATCTGCAGCAGCTGTCTCATTTGAAACTTTATTTTCTTTGAGGCAGGTTTTTTGTTTTGTTTTTTTTCTGCATGGCTTCCCGCACGCGACACTTGACTGTTCTCCTACCTTTCTCCCCTTCTCAGAATCTCTTGTGGTTCTTCTTCATCTTCCCAGTCTTTAAACGTGGGTGTGCCCAAGAGCTCAGTTCTTGGACCTCTTTTGTATTTGCTTTTTAAGTGATCTCATCCAATAGCATGCCTTTAAAAACCACCTATATTCTGATACTTCTCTAAGATTTCAATTTAACTTTCTCCAATCTGGGTGTCTGAAGCTTTACTGCCCTCTCTTCCACCATGACCAAATCTTTAATTTTCCTCCATGGCAAGTCAATTCTTCTTGTTACTAAGACCTAAAATCCTAGTGATGCCTTTGACCCCCTCTTTCTCTCAAATACTATATCTAGCTTGCCAACAAACACTCTCAGTCCTACCATCCACATAGATTTACTCCCTCTGCTGCCACCATCCTATTCAAACTTATTTTGTGTCCCCTGGATTATTTCAGGGACTACTTAACTGGCCTCATTGTTTCTGCATTTGCCGCTTACTGGTTTATTTTCAACCCAGTACCCCATAGTTAATCTATTAAAAGGTAAGCCAGATAAAACCCTCCAGGTATTTCTCATTTCAATCACAGTGAAAGCTACAAGGCTCATGTATTAATTACGTGTTGCAACAAAGATCAGTAGCTTAAAAGAACAGTAATTTTTGCTCATGTGTCTTTAGGTTATCTATCAAGGCTAGGCTTGGCTGGAAGGTCCTTACTTTTTGTTTTGCCCAGTTGTATATGAGCAAAAATGGTCTTAGGTTTGATCTTAGGCCTTAAATGATCTCATGTGTTTCCATTTGCCCTTTAGTGCTTCTGCCACTTTTGAGAGAAGAACACTGCTTGGCTAGTCTGGTAGTCTCAAGAAAAAGGTCCTTCTAGAAATGCCACTGAGCTACTTAGCTGAGACCATCCTAGATAAACGGATTTCCAACCAACCCGCATTTGTATGAGTTAGTTCAGTTGAGATTAGCAGAGTCATATAGCTGTGTGTAACTGACCAAAGCAAGTCAAAAGCTCAAGGTCAAGGGGTAAGAAAGTACACACCACCTGTAATGAGGCCATAGCAAGGATATGGATCAGGATTACTAAAAAATTTGGACCAATAACACAGTCTATCCAAGCCCACCATTGGACCTTGGACCTTGGACCTTGGACTTTTCTCCCTCTTTCCTACTCTCCTCTAGCCATTTGACTTCTCCCTGTTCTGGAACATACCAGGTTCCATTCCTGTGTTAGGTACTTTGCATTTATTTTCCCCTCTTCTTGGAATGCCTTTTCCCCAGAAATTTGTATGTCTGCTTACTCATTTTAGCTCCTGTCTTTACCTAGAAGTCACCTTGGTGAGGCCTACCTTGGCCTTACTATAAATAAACCATAAATAAATTTAAATAAATAAATTGACCATAAATAAATTTGTGATCCCTTGCTCAAAATTTCGCATCTTCTTACCATTTCATTTTTTCCTCCATAGGGACATGTAATTCATGTTGTATTTTCTCTGTTTATCATGTTAATTATCTTTCGGCCTCTTCAGAATGTGAGCTTCATGAGAGCAGAGCACTTTGGAAGTTTTGCTCACTACTACACTCCCATTGGCTAGTCTAGTAGCTGTATAGTAAAACTTGTTGAATAGGCAAATGAATGAATGAACTGGAAAAGAGGACTTAAATAGAGTCAGCAGAATTTGGTTTTAGGTTTAGCTATGTGACTAATTCGCTGTTTGAGCTTTCATATTTTCCTTCTGTATGTCTTGATTTTCGCTTCTGCCAAATTAACATTAAGATTTCTTATAACTCTAACATTCCGTGTATGTATATTTAACACAGAACTGATAAATAAAGTGTGAGAATAGAATAGGTGCCACTTTTTATAAATGCCAGCCTTTTTCATTTTGGAAATTTAAAAAATATCTTAATGCTCAATTTAAAAAGAGGATTTAGTTCCTAACTTGGCACACAAATGAACAGAATCTACAGTATATGGTAGACATGACTAAAGCTTTTCCTCAATGTTCCAGCAATGGAAATAACTCAATAAATTCATAAGTTCTATCTTTGAATTGCTGTTTCATTTTCATAGTTTTGAAGGTTCATGATACCCTTTAAAAAATGTCTGCTCATTTATTCTTTTATCCAGTTATTCATCAAATTTATTCAGACTTAGGGTTTTTCCAGGCAAGTAGAAAAAACCAGAGAGGGCAAGATTGTGGAAAAATCCAGAGAGGGCAAGATTGTTAAAAGGTGGGTACAGGATTCTCTTTTGATGAATCATGGAACCCAACCTGCTAAGGAGGAAAGTAAGTGTTACTGGATGGTGCCATGTAGTTCCAGGCTCTTGGTGTCCTGAACAAAGAATTGGACGAGACGCACAGAGATAGCGAAGCAAAGCAGCAGAAGTGTATTAAGCGCAGTATTACACTCTCGGAGTGGGAGAATGGACTGAGTTCTGTGAGATAAATCAACCTTAGTTTGGTCCTTTGGGTCCTTTTACGTGTTTTGTTTTATTCTCTTCCCAAGGATGCCTAATCTCTAGCCAGTGTCTGCCTTTTGATTAATAGATGTTGCTGAGTTAATTTGGCCCTTGTGTGCTTGTGTGTCATCTCCATCTTTTTTCCTCGATCAAACTGTGTGTTTACTGCCACCTTAGTGTAGACCCTTACTATCACTTTTCAAAACCATTGCAATGCCACCTGATGTGCTATCATGCCTCTATATTTATCTATATTCAGTAAAATATGCAGTAAAAGGGAAATTAGGAGGCAAAGCCTCAACTGTTGAGTGCTTTTATAATACTTAGTAGATTATAGGTACTCTCCTAAACAATATGTACATGTTAACTAATTTATTTAATCTTCACATCACTTCTGTGTGGGAGATACCATTATTCTTTCTTTTATTAATGAGAAAACTTTGGCCCAGAGCAAATTGACCAGATAAGGCTACACGGCTAATTATTGCGGTAGGCAAGGATTGAATCCAGGCAGTCTAGTTGCAGAGTCTGTACTCTCATCCATTACACTGTGTACAGTCCTCAGGTGTGTTCTCACTGTGCTGTCTGCTGTGGCTGTACACATATTGTTCCTCTGCTTGTGGTACCCTTACTCCTTCTCCTCTGAGTGCTAACTTGTACTCACTTTTTTTGGATTGTATCACAAGAATCTTTAATGTTTACTTTAACATTAACTCATGGTGGGGTTGAAAATGTGTTTAGTAAAGTGTGCCAAGTGCCCACATTGAGACCAGCTCCATTCAAATCAGTTCACTCTGCGAGGATGTTTCCTGGTGCCCAGCAAGGTCATGAAGAGAGGGGCCTTGACTTTTCTCTTTGTTAGGTCAGCTTTGCTGGTGAGTTCTTCCAAACTTGCCAGGAGCAGCCTACCCCAGTACACATTATCAGTCCCATGTAAAAGAATACGATGGAAACTTTCTCAATATATTTCATCAGTTTAGCACGTCTCTGGTACAAAAATCCAAGAACGGCAACACAAAAGCAAAAGTGCCAACCAAACTTACTTATAAACAAACATGCATATGTCCCAAACACTACACAGTAGTACCCAAATGACAACATTGCATTAAAAGGTATAAAAGCACTGTACTGTAAAGTTACACGTGAATACTGCACTGTAAATCCTGAATACTCTAGTGACCCACCCCCACCGCTTCCACAGGCCTGGCGAGGGTCAGAAACCATTCATCTGCCTCCAGACCTTGCTAGTCCTGGGAGACACTGTTACAGGAGCAGTAGGCAGTGGGATTAGTCTCCTGCAGAGCTCTGGCCTCCTCCATACCTTCCCAGTATCCGGAAGGCTTGGGGGTCTTTCTTAAAGACCATGGCCAGGAACTCCATGATTTGCTAGTTAGTAATTTCGCGGCCGGCCCGGGAGCCCCAGAAGAATTCATACACCGGCTGCTGCACGTATGGGCCCTGCCAGTACTTAAGGTAATTCTGCTGGACAAACTCCTTGGTGATGAGCTTCCGCACGTCCCGAAGGTGGAAAGTGGAGTGCTTTTTCCAGGGCCGCAGCCCCAGGACGCGCAGCACGTTCCAGACGGCACTCTTACTGGCGCTGCAGCCTTTCAAGTAGATGAGGCTCAGGATCGTGAGAAGGCCTGTCAGGACCATGCTGTTGCTCAGAGCCACCCTGTCCAGCTCCTCGGGCTGCAGTGCTTTGACCAGCTCAGACTCCATGGTGTGGAGGCTGGACAGCCTCTGGTGCAGCCTGGTCAGCTTCCATGGTGCATTCCGAACACCTGGGCGAGAATGAGGCTGGTGAGCCTTAAGATGCCCCTCCATCACTAATTGTAGCTGCCGATGACATCCTTCCATGTCTGGAAACCAAATGATGATCTTCTTCTGGTCCTTGACCCGCACGTACCACATGAGCTCGTGCGCCTTCTTCAGCAGCTGTGCTGGGCCAGACTGGGCCGTGCTAGGGGCCTGGTGGGCGCCGCCCTTCTCCGCGGCCTGCTGCAGAGCCTTCGGGTCGCTTGTGGTCTGGGGCAGTGGTCGGGTCTCGAGGAGGGCTCTGGGGCTCTGCCAGAGTCGCAAACGGAGGAACGCCTACCGAAACCCCAGGGTTGCTATGCACCTCGGAGCTGGAGGCCTCGGCTGCAAAGTTGGGGTCGCTCAGATCCTTCCTTTGTTCCCACCGGTCTGCTCCCTCTGACAAGAGCCTCTGCGTCCAGGAGCACTTTGAGTCTGCCCTCCCTCCGCGGACTCCTGGAGAGGAAGTCTTGTACTCTCACCTTTTAAGAATCAGTGCAACTATCTCCTCTTCTAGGATGCCTTTCATAAACTCTTCTCTATGCCTTCTAGGAATTAAGTTATTCTCTTCTATGTTTGTTCATTGAATTTCTGTTGTGGTATTTATGACTTTGTATTCTTATTTTACTTTACCTGTGTTCTCTCCTACCCATCTCCCACACAATCAGAAACCAGCACTGTGTCTGCTTGTTTAAAGATAGTAAAATAGGGCCGGGCGCGGTGGCTCAAGCCTGTAATCCCAGCACTTTGGGAGGCTGAGACGGGCGGATCACGAGGTCAGGAGATCGAGACCATCCTGGCTAACACAGTGAAACCCCGTCTCTACTAAAAATACAAAAACTTAGCAGGGCGAGGTGGCAGGCGCCTGTAGTCCCAGCTACTCGGGAGGCTGAGGCAGGAGAATGGCGTGAACCCGGGAGGCGGAGCTTGCAGTGAGCTGAGATCCGGCCACTGCACTCCAGCCTGGGTGACAGAGCGAGACTCCGTCTCAAAAAAAAAAAAAAAAAATAAAAAAAAAAACTTGGAGCTCTTAGCTCCCTCCGAAATTTCAATTCAGTTTTAGATAATACTTCTGGAAAAAGAGGAATATTCACTTTCTTATGGAAAATATTTTTAAATACATTTAATAAAAATATTCTGACAGCGTTGTAAATTTGCATTTGGTATATGAACTTTTAGAACTGCTTAAAAATATGTGAATTTTAAAGTAATGCATGATCATATTTAATTGTCGGACTTTTTATTTTCCTGTATAGGGCTGTAATCAGTGATCCAGAACAAAATTTAGCCATTGAGCAAAAAGAAAGTGATCATATCCTTCCAGATTCAAAGATGACACCTCTTCGATTTAGAAAAAGAACACTACATGAAACAAAGTAAGAAGATTTTAATTACATAAAATGAAGATGCACTATGTTCTAAAAGTATTTTTAAAATGTACTTCTGTGTCTAGCTGGAGCTTCTGTGTTCGTTTCACTTTTTTCTATATAAAGAAAAGTGGAACTTTTTTAGTTCAGCTCCCAATTCTGCTACTTTATGATATTAGGGGCAATACCTTATTTTACTCTCTTTGCCCTCCAGATTTTTTATTTGTAATTTAGGGGAAAAAAAAGCCACAACCTTTGGAGATAATGGATGTGAAAATGTATCATATAGTTACCGAGATATTTTATGTGTGTTATATATAATGGCTAAATCTCATTGGCATGTTAAAAGTTCGTATTGATTATACTTTTTTTTTTTTTTTGCATTTTACGTTGTAGCTTTTTCAACCTTAGAATTGGTATGATCTTTTACAATCCTCTGATGCTGTCCACTTAAATTCTTCAACAGTTTCACTGACATCGAACCTCAGCTTTAGTAGACATAAAAAAATCTACCAGTACCCACAGTAACTTTTTTATATTTTCAGAGTACTGTAATTGTTAGTATTTTCATATCTGTTTTTAATCGTTTTGTCTCATTCTTATTTTCTGAAAGCCCTTGCTTTCATCCATTCAAATATTTAGAAGCATCATGTGTTAGTTTCCTATTGCTGCTGTAACAATTACCATGAGCTCAGTATTCTAAAACACAGATTTATTCTTTAATTGTTCTGGAGTTCAGATGCCTAAAATCATGGGATTGATAGGGCTACATTCCTTCTAGAGGTTTTAGGGGTGAAGCTGTTTTCTTGCCTTTTGCAGCTTCTAGAAGCTGCCTTCATTCCTTGGCTCATGGCCCTTTCCTCCATCTTCAAAGTCTGCAATAGCTGGTTTCATGCTGCATCACTCTGTCACTCTTTTTCTATAGATACATTTCTCTCTACATTCCTCCAATAAGGGCATGTATGAGTGCATTGAATCTTCCTGGATAATGCCAATAGTCTCTCCATTTTAATGTTCTTAATTTATCACATATGCCACATCCCTTCTATCATATAATGTATTCTCATGTTCCAAGGATTAGGATATAGACATATTGGGCCAGAGGAGGTCATCATTTATGTACCACACATCTAAACTTTCCTTTTTAAAAGTAAACTTCCATTGAAATAAAACGTACATTCACAGTGCACACATTTTAGGTGCACAACATAGGAGTTATCAAAAACAGAACAACACTCATATACCAAATGCCCAGATCAAGAAACAGACAATTGCCAGTACCACAGAACCTCCCCTTATGCTGCCTCCCAGGTACTATTCATTTCCCCTGCTATACCAGGTTAATCTCTCCATCTTAATATCATAGATTAGAACTGCCTGGTTATGAAATTTGTGGAAATGAAATTACAAGAAATCTAGACTCTGTGTCCAGCTTATTTTTTTCCCTCTAATGGCACTTATTTATTTAGTTGTATATAAGATGTATAACATGATATTTTGATATACATAGTGAAATGTGTTTGGCTTCTTTTACCCAACATTATGTTTGTTAGTTTTATCCATGGTGTTATTTGTAGTTGTCTTTTTTTAATCTCATCATTGTATGGTATTTCATTGTACCACATGCCACAACCTGTCTATTCAGAGGTTGATAGATATTTGGCTGTTTATGAATAGTGCTGCTATGAACTTCCTTGCTCATGCCTTTTGGTAAACATATGTACTCATTTCTGCTGAGTATATACTTAGAAGTAGAATTGTTGGACCATTTAGTATCCATATGTTCAGCTTTAAAAGATGCAGCCAAATAGCTTTCCCAACTGGTTGCTGAAATTTACACTCCCACCAGTAGCAGTATGAGTGTTCTTGTTGCACCATATCTTTGCCAGAGCTTGGTATTGTCTGCCTTTTTTTATTTGAGTTCTTCTTATGGATGTGTATTAGTGATTTTAATTTGCATTTCACTGGAGACTAATGTAGTTGGGTACTTTTCCATATGTATATAGGCCATCTAGATATTCTCATACAAAATTTCCATTCAAGCCTGTTGAGTTGTCTGTCTTTTTAGTATTTATTTGTGGATCTTATTTACATGTTTTAGAAATGAATCCTTTTTCAACTATATTTGTCACACATATCTTGTCCTACTCTGTAGTTACCTTTTCATTCTCTTGATTGTATCTGTCTTAAAAACTAAAGTTAGAAATAGGAGTTCCTAATTTTAACATAGGCCAGTTTTCCTCTTTCCCTATATTGTTAATGTCCTTTGTATATTCCTTAAAAATAATCTCTGCCTACCACTAAATCATTTTCCTTCTGACTTGTAATGCCACATATGTCATATGTCAAGTTGTTATATGCATGATTATGACATGACATGTTATGTGCATGTCTAATGCATGGTTGGTTTCTAGACTTTTTCTTCAGTATTATCTGTTTCCCTGCGTCAATATTATCCTAATTAGTATTGCGTTGTATTAGAGTAAATACCTGCAACTTGTTTCAAACTAATCTAGTTCCATGAGAAATCCTGTTGTGGTATCAATTAGAATTAATGAATTTGTAGCTTTCACTCCTCTTACCCCCATTTATTCTTCCCAGAGGAGGAGAGAGTTCTGCTTCATAAATTTAGAAGCAGGAATTGGCATGAGTAGTGCAGCCCTTCCTCTCCCCTTTGTTTGGGAGGCAGCAGCCTGCAGAAGCACACATTCTGCCCTGTGCATTGTTTTAGACGGTCCCTCCCCAGTGGAAATGAGTGGGTTAGTCTGTTTAATTATAGTGGTAAGGACTAGCTTGTGGTTGCTGCATACCTAAGCTGTGGTTTCTAATAGCTTTATCAATACTAAAATTCGTACTTTAATCTTCAATCTTTCTGATTCTTCTTTATGTATTGGTAAGGAACTTGGGTTCCTAAAAGGAATTGGGCATCTAAAACCCAACATGGCACTTTGCATTTTATAGTGTAAATACATATTTACTTTTATCTTTTCGAGAAGACTACAGGGCCCTTGAAGCTGCTACTTCCATTTGTCACTGTTAAAGTGAGTTCTGTTTACTATTGAAAAGCAATATAATGTAATGGTTAAGAGCAAAGTTTTTTCTAGCTCTGCCATTTACTAATCATATGGCCTTGAGCAATTTACTCATCGGTCTCTGTTTCTATAAAATTTATTTGAAAAATGGGAATAATAACACTTAACCTCAGAGTTATTGTAAGTAGTAAATAAACCAATACACATTAAAGTGATTTTAACAATGACTAGTGTCTGGGAAATTCTCAATAAATGGTAGCCATTACTATTGCTGTTATTTTCTCAGCATTTAGAATTGTTTCAGGCACATAGTGGGCATTCAATAAACACATTAATCCCAGTGGATTAAATTGAATTGAGGTGGTTAAGCTCCCATGGCTCTACTCTGTGCTCACAAACTCTCATTTGGTGCAGGCTCATGTTTCCTGTCCCCCGCTTCCTTTTTGTAGATACCCAGATTTTATAGAGGTGTAGCTTTCAAGATTTCAGTGACCCACACACTTACTTACTAATTACATTACTGCCATTTCATTATACCTGCAGTTTTATGGGAGAAATATTATTGTGTGAAGCAAAGAAGAAATGTATCATTTAGTCTTCAGATCTCTTAATATATAGGAGATTATTGGCAGTAGGGTGCTTTGGTTTTGCTTTATATTATTAAATATAATTTTAGGGCTGGCAGCCTTTATGAGATCACTCAGTACTGTCTGAAGGCCATAATGCTTAAATAACCTATTGATCTATGACAAGGTTCGAACTTCATTCAGCACTCTTCCTCACTCTTTGGTTATTCTGGTAAGGAATGTTTTCAGTTACACATCACTGAAAAATGATTGATAGTGGCTTAAACAAGTCAGAATTTATTTTTCCTATATAGTTAGCTGCTTGGAGGTAGGCATTTATTGATTTTGGTTCAGTAGCTTAGTGATGTTACAGCTCTAGGCTGGCTTTCCTATATCTTTTTGGTCATTCTGATGTGGTGGCTTGATTTCATGGTGACTATATTGGCTCCTAGCATATATCCCTGCCATGTTCACAGGCAGGAACTCTTCTCATGCCACTCTCTTACCAGGACAAAAGAAAGTATTTCCTGGAAGCTTATTGGCAGAACTAGGTCCCTTACTCATCCTTAGTTGCAAGATGCTAAAAGCAAATTCTGTGGTGGGAGGGAAGCAAAGAAGAAGAGGGTTAGAAATGGCGCTCAGGTAGCCCTGCAACAGTGCCAGTCACAAATGTTGTATCTCTGTTCAATATTTACTTTTATAGCACTTTGATGGTATAGCTTCTAATATAAAAGTCATTCACATATTATATACTATATCTCAGAGTTATTTCTTTTGTGTCTGCTACAATTAGCAATCTGAAAAAGAAGAGTACCTTTATCTTTATCCAATCTGTGTGGTTTCAAAATATTCACATAACTTTTTTTGTACATTTTAATTTCCATCAAGTTATAGGTATCTTAAAAAGTTACTGACAAAATGTATTTCTTAACAGGATAAGAACTCATTCTACATTAACTGAAAATATGCTTTCTCATAAATTACAATTTGATGGTAGGATCATGTCACGGTAATTGTGATTTTATTAAAATTTTTAATCCTATGATTACAAAAACATATTCTCTTTTGAATAGAAATAACAGTAATGAGATTAGATAGGTTTGTATCATTTAAAAATATGTGAATTTAGAACAGACATTTTAATGTAATATCTAGTAATCTGTTATAAAAAATAAGAAATATGAATCTGTAGGAAAAACATTCTAATTAAAAGTTATCTTTGAAGCGAATTTAAATGTTTTTTAAAAAGTAACTTAGCAGTGAATTTTTAAAAGAGTTATATTACTACCAGAGTATTGTAAACTGAAAACTAATGTTTTATAAGCTGCTTTATTTAATTTTGTCTTAATGATTTAACAGATTATCGATAGATGCAGTGACAAGGAAAATAATTCTTAAATCTATTATTTCAGTCTTATAATCTTCCAGTAATACATAATTCTACTTGATGTTCTTTCTATATCACTAGTAAAATGTGTATTTTAAATTATCTTATTTGTTTAGTGATTTTAAAGCTTTCTATGACAATAAAAGATAATAAATTTGTATCTATGTGTGCCTTCTTGCAAGCTCAACACTTTTAAAGATAATTCACTTTATCTTAAAAGTCTATGTTGAATTAATAATTTACATTGTAAATATATCCACTTTTCATGTCAGTGTAATATTTTTATTTCTGCATTCAGATCTAACTTTTAGTGGACATTTCAGCAAGCTGTGTTTTTGTGTTTTCCCTACAGTTTCCCATAACCTTCACTCATTGCCACATACATAAGAGAGTTAGCTATCCCTCTTGAGATGCATACTTTTTTTAGTTAATCTAAAAATTATTATATTTGAAGATATTTGATATCATTCTATTTTTTCCAGTAATGGACGTGATGCTTGCAGAGAGCTGATTGGGTTCTTTTTCACTCATGACCAATCCCTTACAATTTATGAATATCGACAATTTGGGAAAAATAGGTATGCCATAAAACATTGTTAGAACTCTGGAGATGATCACTTCTGAGAGAAGCTAAATAACTTTCCATTTTTTTCTCATTTACTTTCTAGAACAATTGTGCTTCCTTTTATTCAAAAAAGCATTTATAGTCATCAATGTGGACGAAGAAAAGGAAAACAATACCGACTTGGTGATTTTTATGTTGTAAGTTGTGTGTGTATGTGCACACATTTAATACCAGATGGTGGATTTTGTGGAGGTAGAGGAACAGGGCTTCTAGTCTTCAATTTATTTCCTCTCCTCCGTCCTGAACAGGGTCATTTATGTGGGCTAATGGTCGATGTTTTCCCAGGAACTTCTGCTTCCTAGCCCCAAATCTCAAGTCTGAATACAAGCATAGCATTTATTTTCTGTAACACCCCCCTTCCCATTCCACAATGTGGCTTGTCTCCAGATGAAGTTGTATCTTCATACTTTGAAAGGTTCTTCAAAGCTGTGTCATTGGCTAAGTGGCTATCTCAATAGCACCAGGAGATATTCTTTACCTAAAGTAGGTTTATCCTCTGAGGATGGACAGTTTCCTCCATGTGAAGGGGTATGGGCCTCTGGAGCTATCACTTTTCTGACAGATAGCCTATCTTCCTTGTGATTTTCCCACTTCAGGAAATTCCTGGCATTTGGTGTGTCACAAGGATTCCCTAGAATGGGTGGAGCATAGATAGTGTTACAGTTTGTGTAGTGCTCTTAAATTTTAAATCGTATTTACACTTTATATCATGATTAAAATACAGCACTATCCACAGTGATCATTCAGATAATATATGTTTCTGTCCTAAGATCTGTAGATGGAGCAGTAAGTTAGACTCATTCCCTGCTTTTGTGGAGCTGACAGTCTAATTGGAGACACAGATAGATAGGAGGGCCAGATAGGAGGGGCAATGTGGGCCAGATAGGAGGGGTGACGGCCCAGTTTTGTGGAATCAAAGGAGGTTCCCTAGAGAAAGTGCCATCTACCCTTCACTAGGAGTTAGCAAGGCTGGGATAAGGGGATAGGTGAGGGTGGGGAAAAGCTTCCAGGTGGAGAAGACAGCTTGTGCTAAGAACAAAAAGGAAGAGAGCACATGACTTATTTGGAGAACTGGAAGTAGTTCAGTCTGATTGGAGGAGAGTTCAAGGTGGAGGCTGGCAAGAGATGAGTCAGAGCTTATTAAAAAGCAGCCTATGTTAAAGAGTTATCTAACATGTATTGGGGAGTCACTGGAAGAGAAGATGTGGATGGAGTGGGGGAAGGTGGCATGATCAGATTTGTGATTTTGAAAGATCTGTCTGGTTACAATGTGGGGAAGGAATTGAAGACTAGATACACAAGGGCAGGATGGGATTGAATTATATTAATCAAGGAGAGAGATTATGGCAACCTGAATAAGCAAGTGACTCTGGCTATGAAGCTAATTAGACAAATAAAAATTATTTGATAGGTAGAGCCAGTACAGTTCGGTACCCAGTTAAGGGAGAAGTATGGGTTGAGGAAAAATTTTACATCTTACACTTAAATACACTATACACTATACATATGGCACTGAAGCCTGCCTCTTGAGATCTAGAGAAAATCAGCTTTGACTCCCATTTCACAACCTGCAGAAGAATGTTTAATGCATATTCCAAGTTTAAAGTTTGAGTTTATGTCTCCAAAAATTTAGTGTAGTTTATGATTTATTCTCACTATCCTCATTCCATATTTCTTTGAAGTAGATGTGGAACTCCGTTCTTTTTTATGATTTCCAAGAAAGAAAGAAAATAAAGAAAAAGAAAAGAAAGAAAAAAAAGAAAGAAAGAAAGAAAAAAGAAAGAAAGAAAGAAAGGAGAAAGAGAGAGAGAAAGGAAAGAAATTCAGCCAACTATATATAAACCACATATATGATGCTTTGTGTGTGTAGCAGACATTTTGAAGGGGATATCAAAAGAGGTTCACATTGTAGCATTGTAAGCAATTTACAATTTATTATTAGACATCCCTACTGTTAAAAATACATCCCTTGAATATTTCCCATGGTAAAAGCACTCTTCTCCATTTTTTTAACTCTTCCACCTCTTGTTTCTCCCCACCAAACTATTGTTTTATGCAGAAATATTCAACTCTATCCTTCTTTTTTTTTTTTTTTTTTGATGGGAGTATTCTGTTTTGTTTTCTAGATATGGCTGTGGAACTTGTCTTTTCATGTCTATATGCCTCATTAAGTCTTTTTCTAAACACTCCTTAAAAGAAATTTTGGTGCCAGTTTTTAAGATAAATACATGAATGTGCACATGTGCCCATAGATGCGCCTGCCTAAAGGTGTACCCACATAGGTATTCACTCATATGCAAGCACATATGCACTGACGCAGGCTGTTCCCTTAGGCACACATGTAAGTATACACACATATGCTTCTATGCATAACACTGTTACACAGATCACATATTCTTAATTGCTTAACATGATAATTATTTACAGGAGACTCTGAATCTTCTCATCCTCAGTCTTACCCTCACTCAACTAAAAAGTCAATCTAAACTGCTATGTTCTACTAAGTGTTCTGCCTAGATTATTATAATCTAAATCCAGGATAATATTTCACTTTATCACTCATAGTTCTCCATCTTCCAATCTGAATTGCAGATTCTTTGGCTCTTCCTTTATATATCTTCTTTTCTATCTCTGGTAGTTTTTTCTTTATTTCTTTCAGGTTTTTGTTTTGTTTTGTTTTTCGTGCTGTCAGAAGATCACTCATTTCTCCAAAGCCTTCCTAATTTCTGGGTGTTATTCTATTATGAAGATCTAAAAGATTAAAAACTGAAAGAGTCCAAATCTGAACCTAGTATCTAATATAGCACTCCTACCCTTCTCTGTTCTTTTAATGGGCTTAATTTTTCTTCATAGTCCTGATCATATAGTATGTATGTATATTTTTATCTATTCATTATTTTCTCTGACATGACGCTATAACCCCTTGAAGGTAAGGACTTATCTATCATGACCCCTACCATATTCCTAGCAACTGGAAGAGTGACAAGTACTTAGTAGACACTGAATACATGTGTATTTAATGAATGGATTTAAATGTGATAAGTTGCAACTTGTGCAGGTGCCTAAACCACTCTCAATCCTGAAGGGATATTTTTAATATCTCTATTTTTGTATTAAAAACATGAAGACAAAGCAAACATCATATGTGTCCAGATTTTTCGTCAGTGAAGACTGGATGAAAGACTAAATAAGTGCAAAAGAGCGATGTTGGATGTACACTAATTGCCATCATGCTGACAGCTATGGTGGTGCAGCATCTTGCTAGCCGGTTTCCCAAAAGGCTTTATTTGCCAAATGCTGGGAAGGTGAAATATTTGCCCAGCAGAAAAAACAAACAAACAAACAAACAAAACCCCACAAAGCTTTAAATTTGAAGTATAGGTAAATTTTGCCAAGTTTTGTAGTCAAATATGTTTAAATTTTTAACTAAAAAATTGAGAATTCTTTTTTCAGTTTTCATCTTACCTTTAGTTGTTGTTTTTCTTTCTAAATTGAGACACGGTCTCACTGTGTTATACAGGCTGGTCTTCACCTTCTCATAACTTGTCCACAGGCTGTTGTTTGTCCTTTGGTCCCATTCAGCAACCAAAGGGAATCATTTACAAAACACAATCTGGTCTTCCAGGCCCATTCATTTACAACCTCCCCCATTTCCCTCTCACCAATGAGGAGAATATTTAAGTATCAACCATCTGGCTTTTTGAGTTTTCTTTCTTTTTTTCTGTTTCTTTTTTTTTTTTTTTTTGGTATGGCTCCTATGCTTATGCACATTAGTAAATTTGTTATGCTTTTCTCCTGTAAACTTGTCTTTTGTTACAGGGATGTGGGCAATAAGCATTATGATGGGGAGGAAAGGGATCACCTCCTTCCTACCCCTAGACATACATGTTTTTGGTATAAACAATAACTAGTCCTCAAGTAAGAAGACTTTACGGTGCCATTTGTCACACAGTTTATCCTAGATTGACCTGGTAATTAGAGTGACTATCTGTAGTAGCTAATTGGCTTTATCCAGGGGAAGAAAAAAACAAACTTTTCATATCCTTGTGACAGGAGGTGGTTTTGCACTTAGAGCAAGGTGCCTAAGGAAGTTAGGCTTCCACCCTCTCACAGAAACTGAGAGATAGCAGTACTCTCTCCCTTGATGTTTACACTCAAAGAGTGGCTCACGGGTCCTTGAGAAAGCCTTATCTAGGTCATAAAACTGACAACAGGCTCATCTAATTTTCAGAAGTATTTGTATACATTTCAAAGAGAGGAGAAAGTACTGACATTATAATTACAAATTCTGTAAAGTAAATGTGCTGAGAAAATGGAGGGGAAGGACGTCCTTCCCTTCTATGCAACAGGCAGAATTAAGCCCCTATTTAAAATTTGTATTTGTTGGCCAGTTGGCCAGTTGCCGTGGCTCACGCCTGTAATCCCAGCACTTTGGGAGGCCCAGGTGAGCGGATCATGAGGTCAGGAGTTTGAGACCAGCCTGACCAATATGGTGAAACCCCGTCTCTGCTAAAAATACTAAATAAATAAATAAATAAAATAAAAATCAGCTGGGCGTGGTGGCGGGTGCCTGTAATCTCAGCTACTCTGGAGGCTGAGGCAGGAGAATTGCTTGAACCCTGGAGTGGGAGGCTGCAGTGAGCAGAGATCGTGCCACTGCACTCCAGCCTGGGCGACAGTACAAGACTCCGTCTCAAAAAAAAAAAAAAATTGTATTTGGTATTTGTCCTTGCACTGGTTATGTTTATTAGAGAAGCTTAGAAATTAAAATAATAATTTTATAAGTTTAGATTAAGATTTTTTGAAAGGAATTTTGTGGCTGAAGTTTTGATGTTCTAATTAGGTTGAATTTAGATTTTATAGTTAGGAAATGTCTGTCATCAAAAGTCCAGCTGAAAGAGTATGAGATATCTTCACAGTTCTTCAATTTGTGGTATATCATTCTGTGGGCCAATAGCTCTATTTAGGGATGTCATAATTTCAATTTATTTATTTTTTCTTTTTTCCTCTCATTCTCATTAAAAAAACTGAGTTTATTATATTGCTGGCTTTTTTTATTCACATGGATTGTTAAATAGAAGACTGTTCTGAGATTGACAGAGATATTAGTTTCTTTATCTGTATAGTTTCTCCAAATACATATAAGCATTCTCCAAATATACTTTTTTTACCATTATTAAAGTATATCATGTCATATTAATCAAAATCAATTATTTTAAATTAATGTTAGTTGTATTTTATTTCTTATATACTTTCTAGCTTCATTCATCTGTTCATTTCTTTAGGGTGCAACTTTGACATTTTTGAGTTCTGATCATGCCAGCCTTCCAGAAAGCATCAAAGAAAACACATTTCTTAAACTCCGAATCACACATATTGATCAAATAGCTTTGGATTCTCTCAAGTAAGTTAAATATGCATTTGGCATTTTGAAGCAGGTGAAAACACTATTTTTAAATTATCTTAAAATGACATTCTACTGCAAGGTATTAATAACTTCGCTAAGGTTTATATTTTTAAAAAACAAGCACAGCTACGTGTGTCTATTTTATGTACTATCTCGTACTCAAATACACTTCATGTGTGGGAACAATTATAATCAATCAAATATTTTAAAATATTCATTTTTATGTTAAAGATACCTTATTAATTTGCCTTTGCTATAACACTTTTATTTTACCAAATATTACCAAAAGGAATAAAATTTTTTTAAAAAAGGGTATCAATACAATATTGTAACAATTTTTTTTCACATTGTTATTATGATGACTTTTTTAGTATCTAAAAAAGTCTTAGGGTCCCATATGCTTACAGTATTTATTGATTGATAAAGTGCATAGTGAAAATTAGTTCTATACATCAAACATTGCTTTTAAAATGATTTTTTAAGTAACAGGAATATATACATGTGATTTTAAAAACATAATTCCCGTGATTTTATATATGTATGTTAGAGGCTATATCCTACAAAGTGGCTGTAAGAAGTCTGTGTTCATCATTTACTATATTGCTAAAAATGAACGCATTTGAGGGGGCTTTTAAAAATAACATTTTTTCATCTTATGCTTTGCAAGGTAAAATTGCTTTTAAATTTAATAGTTTTAATTAAATATTTAAAACATTAAAATTGTTGCAAAAATGAATGTTGACTAGGTGCAGTGGCTCACTCCTGTAATCCCAGCACTTTGAGAGGCCGAGGTGGGCGGATCACAAGGTCAAGAGTTCGAGACCAGCCTGGCCAATATGGTGAAACCCCATCTCTACTAAAAAATACAAAAATCAGCCAGGCATGGTGACAGGCACCTGTAGTCCCAGCTACTCAGAAGGCTAAGGTGGGAGGATCTCTTGAACCTGGGAGGCGGAGGTTGCAGCGAGCCCAGATCGCGCCACTGCATTCCAGCCTGGGTGACAGAGCGAGACTCCGTCTCAAAAAACAAACAAACAAAACAAAACAAAGACCAAGAATGTTTACAAGTAGTCCTTATAAGATTTTAAGGATTTTAGCTCTCAATTTAATCATCTTGGGCATCAAAGCAGAAGGCAGAGTTGGGACTTGATTAAATTCTAAGCACTCTTCCAAGTGTGAGAGTTTCTTTGAGTCTGGAGCAGGGAAGAGCTTAGAGTTTTATACTCAAGATTATAAAACAGAATATATATATATATGTATATATATAATATATTTCATCCCTGTGAACATGTCAATTGCAGAACTGCTTCTATGGACCAGGAGGATGATATAGTCATTCAAGAAACCAATGATAGGCTGGTCTTCAAGGCAATTCAAGGTATGTGTTATTACTATACTCTCAAGTACTTTGAATTTTTGATCCTTTTTTTTTTTATAAACAGTAAAACCTTTTTTTTTTTTATAATCAGTAAAACAACATTTTTCCAGATACTTCTCAGTGGCACTTGATTTATATTTACCCTTTTTTTTTTTTATAAACAGTAAAAACCTTTTTTTTTTTATAATCAGTAAAACAACATTTTTCCAGATACTTCTCAGTGGCACTTGATTTATATTTACCCTTTGCTTATTTAAAAAAGTATACATACATACTTTTATTGTTTAGGATTTCTAAACGTTTTAAGATTTTTCTTACTTTAATGGTCCTAACTAATATTATATGAATTATAAAATTAAGTGTTTTAGAAATTACTAGATAATATGGGTTTTACTCATAAGCTGAATGAAATGTAAAAGTAATTTTTGTAATATAATACTTGTCTTATGTATTACATAATATCTTGAAGAAGTTTGTGATGTCCTAGCGTAAAAGAAAAAAAATGCAAGATTGGGAGCCAGATTCATGTTTGGACTCTGTTGTTCAAGACACACATGACTTTGGAGAAATCCCTTGCATCTCTTTCCTCATCTCTAAAACAGGGATGATAATACTTCTCTTATTCCAGGGTTGTTGTGGGTGATAAATTAGATATATTTCAGTTTTGGATACTAAAACATTTTCCAAATTTTGGAAGATGCAGTATAGTAGACTCGATTAGACAGTTACTCTGTTGGATCTCATAGTCTAAAATGGAGAAAGGTATTAAACAAGCAATCACAGAAGTTAACATGTAATTTATGAACTTTTTTTTTTTGAGAGAGAGCCTTGCTCCTTTGCCCGGGCTTGAGTGCAGTGGCACAATCACAGCTTACCTCAGATTCCTGGTTTCAGGTGACCCTCCTTGCCTCAGCTTCCTGAGTAGCCAGGACTACAGGTGCATGCCATCACACCCGGCTAAATTTTTTTTTTTTTTTTTTTCTGTTTTTGTAGAGACAGGGTCTTGCTATGCTCTCCAGGGTAGTCTGGAACTTCTGGGCTCAAGTGATCCTCCCATCTCAGCCTCACAAAGTGCTGGGATTATAGTCATGAGCCGTCACACTTGACCTAATGTATGAGTTTTCATGACTCCTGATTTATCTTTTAAAGATAAGGCGCTCACAGTAAGAAGGCAAGAAACAGATTTGAAAAGTTTTGTTTGGACTCTCAAATGTTCTTGATGCCAAAGTTTGTAAACAGTTTTCTCTATTATATCATAGTCAATACAGTATTTGTCACAATTGAACTTAGTGACATTTGTTTTTTTCTCTCATGTATTATATCTAATAACTGCTTTAGTAAAGTTACCAATCTATTCTTAAGTAAATATGGTACAAAGCACAGTAAGTGAAATAACAGCTACAAAGAGAATGACAGGGATCTAAGCAAATAACCTCTTATGAAATATGTAAGTGTAGGATAGAATTCAAAAGCCTTGATGCTATTTTATATACAAGTTACAATTTGAAGATTTCAAACTATTTTTAAAATGTTGAACTGATAATTTGTGAATTACTTGACTGTCATCAATTTTGCAATTCAGTTGATAAAAACTAAGAAAAGGAAAACAGATTAAAGATATGGGGGTGGTTAAAGAGGTTGTCTACGCAACAAAATCTAAGATTTTATTTGTAATATTTAAGTTATTCTCTTGGTGATAAAGTGAAACTGTATTTTTCTGTTTTAAAAATATAACACTTCCACCACACAGTGGTGCTATTGTTCTGGCATATTTACATGTGATTTTATAGCTAATCCTCTTGATTAAAAACATCCTATTTTCCAAAGTCTTTTGTCTTACATTTGATTTGTTTGAATATTCACGAATTCCTGATTTCAGTTACATCAACTTTAATTTTCTTATGAAAGATAACTGCAGCTTTATACATTTATGCATAGGAACAATTTGTTTTCATTTCTCTTGTTGAACAGATGTGCTAAAAGAAAAACTACATAAAAGAGGTGTTCGTATTTTGACTGGATTGGGAAAATACTTTCAACAGTTGGACAAGGAAGGAAATGGACTTTTAGATAAGGCAGATTTTAAGGAAGCTCTAAAAGTGTTTCACTTAGAAGTGTCTGAAAAGGTATGTGCCACAGAAAATTCTCTGCAGCAGATAATATGTTATTCTTAGGTGGCATTATTCACTGTTCTACTGAAATTTTAGTTTTCATTTATTTTCTCCTTCTCTATGCCCTGTTATCAGTGTTAAGCTATCAGGTGACAAGCCCTGTTGGTTTTTAAAGTTTAAATATTGTTCCATCCTATATTTATAAAGAGCTTAATAACCAGGCATTGTGCTAAGCTCTGAGATAATACTCTGTACTCTTGAGATCACTGTAATTGAAGGAAAATGAACATAAAACAAAATATGTATTCAATGGAGAATGTTTTTGGAACACATGGGATAGATACCTGATTCCAAGACAGGTTCTAGGGAAGGAGAACAAAGATCATGGAAGGATGCCTGGAGGAGGATACATCCAAGCTGAGTTTTGAAGGTTGAGGAAGAGTTAACCAGACAAGGGCGAAAGAGGAGTGTGAATCAGACAATGTGTATTTTATGAAAAGGAGACACATATGTGAAAGCTTGGAGGGGAAGGAGTGTGGCCTGTTTCTGACACTGCAAATGATTAATAATCTTCACACATACTGTTCCCTCCACTGTGAATAATCTACTAGATCTTTGCTTGCTGGGTTTTCTTAGCATTCAGGCCACAGCTTTCTCTGTCAAGAGCATTACCCTGACACTTCTGTCTAAAGGAGCACTCCCATTTGATCTTTGGTCCTTTCGATACCAATTTCTCGTTTTATTATCATTTTTTTTTCATGCCACTTTGTAAGTATTTTCTGGCTCTGCCTGTAAGTAAATCATTAAGTCTCATCAGGGTGGGGACCAGAGTGTTTTTGTGTTCCTGCTCTTTTTCTAACATCTGAAATAGAACCCAGCATATGGAAAGTTAAGCAGATAATGCGTTAGTTTGAATGGATAAATTTATGGAAGGAAGGAAAAGAGAAGAATGGAGAGAAACGTCTGGTACATTAAAGTCTTGCACGTCATACTAAGAAGATTGGGTTTTATTCTAAAAGCATATGAATCACATTTGTCTCAAGGATTTCAGATAAAGGATCTCTTGCACTGTTCTCTTTTGCTTCAAATGATCTTGTCACAAGATGTGTATTTTGGAGAAAGAACACTGTAAATTGAACTTAGGACACTTAGGTTCAAGTTCTGGCTTTACTATTTAAACTGTATGATCTTGGACCAGTCTTTTAACTTTTTTGATTGGGGGGCTCTGCCTGAGCAATCCAGAGGTAATTGTTATTGTTAGAGTTGCTTGGAAGCTCAAATGAGAAAATTACATGGGAATCTGCCATATCAGCTGTACAATTCTATGCTAATATCATGTTGCCTAACATTGTTCTGACATACCCATCTTTTTGGTTTTTATGATGTTTAATCTTTTGCCCACCTAGTGATAAATACTAGGGATCATCTAACTTCCCCTCTTCCTTTTGTAGATTAAAACAACAACAACAACAACAATAATAAAGCAACAATAGGAAATTAGAAAACCTTAATGTCTTTGGTTACAATCACATGAGTGAGAATGGACAAATCACACAAACTATGTTTCCTCTGCTTTCACACAGCAATAATCAACACAGAATACTTCTGCAACCAAATGCATGTGGGGGTTCCACCCATACTAAGCAGTAGAAACCCAGTGGACAGCCTCTAATTCAATTCAATTCTGACATTACCTACCTAGAGATAGACTCAGATCCCAAAGGGTGAGATCTCAGTTCTACAAGACAACCCCTGCCCCCAACACACTCTGCATAGGGCACCAGTCACAGGTTTGGGTCCCTGGAACTTGTAGTCAACTAATTTCAAGTTTGGGGTTTCCACGACCCGCTCCTTGGGTTCAATTAATTTGCTGGAGCAGCTCACAAAACTCAGGAAAACTTATATTTACCTGTTTATTCTCATGGATATTACAAAGGATACAGATGAAGAGATTAATAGGGCAAGGTATGGGGGAAGGAGTGCAGAGCTTTCATACCCTCCCTGGGTGCCACCCTCCAGGAACCTTCACAACCTTAGCTACCCAGAAACTCCCTGAACCCTGTCCTCTTGACTTTTGTATGGAGACTACATTGGATAGACATGACTGATACATGGACAACTGTGTAGAAATGTGATTGGACAAAAGTGTATGACCTAATACTGATAGACTGAAGAAGGAAACCCAGTAAGGAATGCCTGTTCAGACTCTTCTTGGCCTCTGTGCAGCATTCCTTCCTCCATGGTGGGGGCAGGACCCCTTCTGAAATGGGGGTCTTATGGCCTACAATTAGACAAGGTAGGTCAGAGAATTTTTTATGGCCAGCTCCAACACAGAAAGGCAGGAGATGATTCCTGCCTTGAAGAGGGAAAAGAGCAGGTGAAAGAAGGGCAGGAGAAGGTCAGAGAGGGAGAGAGAGAGATTCCATTTTCTGAGGCCTAAAGTACCCTAATATTATAATAAAAGATTGTAACAAGAACAAGGAAGGGCAATGGGAATTATAAACTGGACCTATGGATGAAATAATATATATAATATATATGTGTATATATGTGTGTGTGTGTGCTTGCGTGTGTGTATATGTGCTTGTGTGTGTATGTGTTTATAAAATCACAAGTAATTAATAGCTGATGTAGGACTAGAACCCAGTTAATATGTTCCCATCTAGTACTTTTTCTGTATCATAACAATACTTCCCTTTTTGATTAATTTGCTAAATTGTTATGATTAGGTCTAGGAACAAAAACTATAGTAATTATATAAGACTTCTAACATAGAGGGAACATATTATGAAAATATGAGCACGCGTCCTCCTTTTCTCATATATTTTAATAGTATTTTATATTTTTTCTGTAATATCACTGTAAACTGCTCATGCAATGATAAGCACATACAAACAGCTCGAGAAGAAGAACTTAGGAATCACTAACCTAGGTCTAATTTTGAAACTAGAGAATGTTTGTGGGAAGGCATAGTCAGCCATTCTCCCTGATTTGAGATTTAAAAAAATCGACATGTACCCTAAAAAGCCTAATTTATATAGAGATACTATCAGTGATTTCCTTCAGCTTTTTTAAATGTAATTATTTTCCATTGTGTACCATATCTTTGAAAGAAAGAGTATATATATGTATATCTCTTAAGTATATATAAATATAAATATGTATTTCTTGTTGACGATTATGTTAAATTACTCAAATCTTGAAAATTATTTCTTTTAAGCTTTAAGAAGTATCTTTCAATTCCAGTAATCCATGAATTGGATGAGCAAATTGGTCTTCTCCTGTGCATATTACTCATGATTTTAAAGGTCAAGCTCATCTTCAGTTTAAATGCACAGACGCTTAAAGTCTGCATAATGTGCAGTACATTATGATAGACAAAGATGTATGGGGTTGTCGAGAACTGAGGGAAGGCAGGCATCTTTAGATTGTTTCTCTGGTTAAAGTTTTCTTTGAAAACAAAAGGAGGGAGTGGAAAATGATATTTTTTGAGTACCTATTATTTGCTAAGCACCTTGTTAGGTATTTTATCTACATTCACATTTAAAGGTAACAACTTGATTAAAACATTGAAAAAATATATTTACTTGAGTTTGAGAAAATGATGCTGTAATTTCTTTGTTGTCAAGGAAAACTGTGTTAGAACTTTCTATTAAGTAGTGCATTTGCTGAAGAAGTAAATGGTAATGTAATGGTAAAGTGAATAAACTGGCATAAGGGACTTATTCAAAATTATACCTTTCAGTGTAAATTATAGAATGATATTAGAGTCATTCAAATCTATATTTTCAAGCATGAAGACTAGCAGAAATATAATTAGTGGTTATAATGCCATTGGAAGCACTCCAGGACCGAATGTGACTTTTGAATTAACACAGATATAATACATTAAAAGTATTTAAATGTTTAAAATTGAGTAAATGGTAACCACACATACACAGACACACACAGATATCTACATATCTCTATGTAGATAGATGTATAGATATAGAAATAAAGTTGAAAAGATAAATTTGTTTCCAGAGCATGGGGAAAGGGGTTGGTATACAAGGAAAATAGAAAATTGGTCAAAAGGTACAAGTTTTCATTACACAGTGGATTAAGTTCTGGGTGATCTATTGCACAGCATGGTAATTATAGTTTATAATAATGTATACTTCAAAATACCTAAAAGGGAGGATTTTAAATGTTCTCATCACAAAGAAATGATAAATATTTAAGATGATAGATATGACTGTATTATTCTACAATATACACATGTATTGAAATACATGTATTGAAATATCATATTGTACCCTATAACTATATAAAATTATTATTTGTCCATCAAAAATAAAACTTAAAAAAGATAAATTTGTGAGCTATTGCCACTCCTAAATGGCTCCTAACTTTACAGAACCATTTACCATAGGTTCCTGTGAATCACTTTTTTAGTGGCTTTGATTGGATTTTTAGGTAACTTCCTCAATTTTCTTATTAAATGAGTTATCGTATCTAGGACTACAGAAGATGTAACAAAATACAACTAAGATGATTTTGTTGTGACAATATATAACTTAAAATTGCAACAGTTATCTCTGATTATTTCTAGGATTTTGAGTCTGCATGGCTAATTCTGGATGACAATGGCAATGGTAAGGCTGATTACGGAGAATTCAAACGTGGTATTATTGGTGAAATGAATGAATATAGGAAATCATATGTTCGAAAGGTAACTTTGTTAAGTAATCTTTCAAATTGTTATTTTTAATAGATTGTTAGGTTCAGTATTTTAAAAGTTTAATGAATTACCATTTAAAATGTTTTAAATCTATTTACTTGTAACATATGTTGGGTTTAGTAAAACAGAAAACAAGTCCATATGCATACAAATCGACCCAGAATGAAGCAAAATAACTTGTGTATATATTTTAGAGAAATACTATGAGGGGAAAATAAAATTTGAAATCAAATTTTGGTTAACAAATTACTAGCTCCATAAGTTGTTGCCTCCATAAATTACTAGCTATGTGAATATATGTATTATAAAATATTCCTAAGCCTCAGTTTCCTTTCTCATAGAATTGGTGTAAAGATGGAATAAGATAATGCATATACAATTCTTAGCATTGTGGCTGTTCCAGTGTCAATACTCCAGACATTTTGTTTTAGGATGATGACTAAAAAATGTTTCTCTGGTGTTTAGAATATGCATGATAAATATTAACTTGTAAATTAAAATAATCATGTTAAATTGGAATTAAAAACAGGAGTACTGACTTTAATAGGAAGCTACGTATGACTTGAGTTTTGGTAGCCATTTTTTGGATCATACTTTTGAGCAACGTAGTTAGCTTTTTTTTCTTTTGTATATGTACTTAATATTGAAAGAAAGCTATTCTATATAATGTAAATAATTATATAAATCTCAAATACAGAAATTAGTCTCTACTGGGCAAGAGACACAGTAAAAACCTTAAATTAGACAAATTCACCACATAATATTTATAAATGTGTACTTATTCATGCTTTCCATGTCCTTCCTGGTGATAGGTTTGAGAATCTGGAATCGAAATTGGAGACTTGTGTCTTTCATAAATCTTGGTAATGGGAACAGAGGGCAAGAGAAGTGTTATGCAGTTCTGTATTAGTTTGCTTGGGCTGCCATAACAAAATACTACAGACTAGGTGACTGAAATAACAGAAATTTATTGTCTCATAGCTCTGGAGGTTAGAAGTTCCCAAACAAGGTGTCAGCAGGTTTGGTTTCTTCTGAGGCCTCTCTCCTTGGCTTGCAGATGACTGCCTGTTCTCTGTGTCCTCACATGGTCTTCCCTTTGTCTGTGTTGTGTCCTACTGTCTTTTATTTATTTATTTTTTTGAGATGGAGTCTTGCTCTGTTGCCCAGGCTGGAGGGCAGTGGTGTGATCTTGGTTCACTGCAACCTCCCCCTTCTGGGTTCAAGCGATTTTCCTGTCTCAGCCTCCCAAGTAGCCGAGATTACAGGCATGTGCCACCATGCTTGGCTACTTTTTGTATTTTTAATAGAGACAGGGTTTCGCCATGTTGGCCAAGCTGATCTTGAACTCTTGACCTCAGGTGATCCACCCACCTCAGCCTCCCAAAGTCCTGGGATTACAGGCGTGAGCCACCATGCCTGGCCCTACTGCCGTCTTATAAGGAGACACCAGTCATATTGGATAAGGGGCCACCCTAATGATTTCATTTTGACTTAATTATCCCTTCAAAGGCCCTACCTTGAAATACAGTCATATTCTGAGCTGCTGGGATTAGGTTCAACATATGAATTTTGGAGGAACACAAGTCAGTCTACAACAGCTTCCATATTTCTGTGAATGCAATATTGTGAATAACCAGACTTGATTCTAGTTTTGACCCCACTGCAAATATAGAATGTTGCTTTGGGTAGCTTGTGTCTTTCTAAGTAGTGAATACTCTTCCAATGAAATATTTCATGATATCTTATGATACTCAGAGCTACACTGAATTAGAGGAACAATAACACAACTACATTTTAAAAAGTGTATTAAATTTCAAGAAATAGAGTAACATAACTCATTTAAAAAGTATTTCACTTTTTCATTGATTTTAGGGAGGAAATATTTGCAAATTCACTTCTTTAGTTAAAATATTCGTCTTGGCAATCTCTTTTGGCCATTTATACAAATCCTAGAGCTGGAAGTTACCTGAGAGGTCTTTTACCCATCTCTTCAGTTTTCAGGGGAGAGAGGCCATGGAAATAGAGGTCAGGTTACTTTCTCAAGGTCAGGATGCTAGAAAGTGGGAGAACTTTCTAATTGAGTACAGATTTCCTAGTATCTTGCTTCTCCTGTATTTATAACGGTTCTTTCATATATCAGTATAGTACTTTTAAAATGCCGTGTTTATAGCTCAGAAATAACCTACTATAAAATAGAAAATTAGATTCCTATGTCTAATAATTTTACTTAAAAAATAACATTTGTCAGGCTGAGCATGGTGGCTCGCGCCTGTAATCCCAGTACTTTGGGAGGCCGAGGCGGGTGGATCACCTGAGGTTAGGAATTCGAGATCAGCCTGACTGACATGGCGAAACCCCGTCTCTATTAAAATACCAGAAATAGCTGGGCCTGGTGGCAGGCGCCTGTAGTCCCAGCTGAGGGAGGAGAATTGCCTGAACCTGGGAGGAGATTGCACTGAGCTGAGATCACATCTTGCACTCCAGCCTGGGTGACAGAGCGAGCCTCTGTCTCAAAACAAACCAACCAACCAACAAACTAATAATAATAACATTTGTCTATTAGGCCTTTATGAAACTGGATTTCAACAAAACTGGCAGTGTGCCTATTACAAACATAAGAAAATGTTACTGTGCAAAGAAGCATTCTCAAGTAATTTCAGGTAATTATTCGGAGTCAAAATGCATTGGACTTTGAAAATATTACTTAAAGATAATATCTTTATATTAATTTAAACCTTAGATTGAGGCATTGGGGGGGGAAATAAACTATTTTTTTGAACCAGAAACTTAAGAACTATTTGCCTTTCTTCATTTAATAGTTCTTAGGTCTATTGCCTGTACTTGTTTGTTTATTTGATATTTATTATCAATATAGAACTCATTTCCTATTTAGGAGATAGTAAGGGATTTAAGTTAAAAAGAATGAAATAGCTTTAGAAAATAGATAAATACATATGCAGGTTCTCAGAGTTATTTCTATATCTTCTTATATAGTTATCTATACTTGAGGATTTAAGCGAAATGAAGGAGTGTCTTTCTCTAGGGATGGAATATACATAGAATGAACGTACATATATCAAAATTTGAGAATATTGTAAATTCCATAAAGTAGCTCTAGAGATTCATATCCTACTGTATTTTTTCTAACTTTTTTACATAATTGTTTTATAAGTACATCCTTTTTATAAAGAAAGCATTTGACCACAACTCTCCTCTTTACATTTCCTTCCATAGAAGTCAAAATTATCATTTAGCATATATATTTCAGCTAATACATTATGAATTTTACTTATTCTATGAATTTTCATGGCTATGTGCATACTATAAATATTTAATACTTTTTGACTTTTTTTGACATGAAAGGTACACTGAAGAGAATGTTATATAATTTGCTTTTTACACTCACCAGTATGTTTTGGAGTTCTTTATATATTAATCTACATTGAGCCTCGTTATTTTTTATCTTGCAGTATATTATTCTTTTTATAAATCAATATACTATCATTTACCTAGCCATTGTTTTATTGTTAGATTTTAAGTTCTAATTATTGATCAACAACTAATGAAGCAATAAATGCGCTTATTTGTGACTCTTCAGGCCTGTTTTCTACTGCTTCCCTGGAGTGATATTAATACCTAGAATTACTGGGATGTCTGCATTTAAAATTTTAAGTGAGACTTCCAAATGACATTGTAAAATGACTCTACTAGATTATATAGCCATTTGTTGAAGAGTTCTTTTCCTCCACAACTTTGCCAAAAACTTTCACTTTGCCAATCTGATAGGTTAAAAAAAAAAACATTTTACTTGGAGTTCCTTCATTACTAGGGAGGTTAAACATATATTTGTACATTTATTGATTGTCCATCTTGAAGGAATATTTATTGACCATATTTTATAATAATTTCTTTTCAACTTATAACTTTAATTCTGTACTGCTAAATATTATAGAATACTATTATTTTTAGAATTTTATTCCTTACTATTAAAAGAGAAACACTGTAATTACTTTGGTTTCTTATCATCATTAACTCTTATATATGATTAATTTGTCACTTTTAATTATGAAATGAAAAACGTGAGATTTGGTTATGAAGATTAAAGCTAATCCTCACTGGATTCCAAATTTCTAATTACCTATTTCTGGTCGAAATAGTTTAATTTGCTTATTCATGACATTAAATAAATTACAGCTACTCTAAGAGAATTTCTAGTGTATATTTAATTGGTGCTAGTGTATTTTTTTCCTTTAAACACGTCATTGTCTGTTTCTTTCTCTTAGTCATACTAAATATAAGAACGAAATAGTTTAACACCATGTATTTTTTCTCTTTCTCTTTTCTCATCTAATAATATTAATTAGGTTGCTAAAATAGCTTCAGGTTTATTATGTTTCATGGAATTTTTGATGAGGGTTTTATTTTTGTTGTTGGGAAAGCCTTTCTTGGTTTCAGAAATTCCATAATTTGTCTTTGCGTTCACATTAAGAATGACAATAGGTAAGCTAAATATTCCTAAATAGAAGAAAACTTGTCACTGTATTTCAAAGAAGAAAAAAAGTACCCCATTATTATTTATTATTGCAGATTATAATCTATTCATATGCCCACCTCTGGGATATAGTTTGTTCACAATTTACAATTAATTTCAAGGTAAGGCTCTTATACCACATACAATTTAATTTTAACTATAGAAAATATTCCTTCTTAAATTTGCTTAAGTAATATATTAGAAAAAAGTATTTTAAGGTTTAATATAAATGGGATATCCCAAATATATTTCTATGTAATAGTTTTAGAAATATAACATTTGTTGCTGTAAATATTTTCTAGTCTCCGAGAGGACTGAAAAAAATTCAGTTATAGATGATAGGAGGTAGGTATTTCCTGGGTGAGGGATATAAAGGAGGTATGAAATTCTTCACTATTTGAAATATAAATCAGAGTGAAAAATGTTTCCTCAGATAAAAATTGTGTTAAAACTCCTCTGTTCAAAAGTATGGATGGTAAACAAAGAGGGAAATTTCTACCAAAATTTGTTTTTATATAGATGGGATCTTGATTAATTTTTAACCTTGACTAACATTCAATTAAAACTTCATTTTATTATTTTATATTACCATCTCTATGTAGCATCATTATTCAGTCTTTCTACATTCAACTTGTATTTTATAGAATAATCACTTTTTCTCTATTTCTTGTATATGTTTTTAAAAGAAAGCAAACTTCTTAATATTCAAAGCAGATTTCATTCCTTTAGTTTGGAAGACACTTTGCAATGCATTATTGTCTATGTCCATTAAAGAACCTCTGGTTTGAGGGAAAAAAATTAACTCTCACCTTAATTTTGTCCACCCCATTAGACAAACGGTTTGAGTGGTATTCCCATCTAAGCCTGTTATTTAAAACATAACCTGACTTTAAAACGTTTTAGATTCCAAGTCTTTGCTATTGTGAATAGTGCTGCAATAAACATATGTGTGCATGTGTCTTTATAGCAGCATGATTTATAATCCTTTGGGTTTATACCCAGTAATGAGATAGCTGGGTCAAATGGTATTTCTAGTTCTAGATCCTTGAGGAATCGCCACACTGTGTTCCACAATGGTTGAACTAGTTTACAGTCCCACCAACAGTGTAAAAGCGTTCCTATTTCTCCACATCCTCTCCAGCACCTGTTGTCTCCTGATTTTTTAATTCTCATTGTGGTTTTGATTTGTATTTCTCTGATGGCGAGTGATGAACCCAAATGTCCATCAGTGACAGACTGGATTAAGAAAATGTGGCACATATACACCATGGAATACTATGCAGCCATAAAAAAGGATGAGTCCGTGTCCTTTGTAGGGTCATGGATGCAGCTGGAAACCATCATTCTCAGCAAACTATCACAAGAACAGAAAACCAAACACCACATGTTCTCACTCATAGGTGGGAACTCAACAATGAGATCACTTGGACACAGGAAGGGGAACATCACACACCTGGGCCTATTGTGGGAAGGGAGGAGGGGGGAGAAGGGAAGGAAAGCATTAGGAAATATACCTAATTTAAATGACAAGTTAATGGGTGCTGCACACCAACATGGCACATGTATACATATGTAACAAACCTGCACGTTGTGCACATGTACCCTAGAACTTAAAGTATAATAAAAAACAACAACAACAAAAAAAATGTTTTAGAGGGTCACATAGAAGTTTTTTGACCCCTTTTCTGCTATTGTATATGGGCCTCTGTTTATTCTCTTTTCAGTGTTATCTGACCAGTCACTATAGCTTCCTTTCATCTTTCAATTCCTCTGTTAAAATTGTGTTCTATGCTAGGATCCTGGAGATAGATCAGTGCAGGAGAGCAGGGGGCAGGGAAGGAGTGGCAAATTGAATGAGATGAAATAATTCCAGTTCATGTGTAAATAAATTGGCTGGTAGTTTGATAAAAGATTTCAAATTGTTGCATGTATTTCATAAGATGATTAAGTATTCCTTTATCATCATCAGTCATTTCACTGAACTTTTTAGGAAACTGTTTCATACTCAGTACTATTTTACAGGCCATTCAACAGAGGAAGAAATTAAATCATCCTTTCTAGAAACGTTAAAAGTTGCCTGCAGCAAGTCTGATGAAGTTTCATATGGTGAATTTGAAGATTACTATGAAGGTTTAAGTATAGAAATAATAGATGATGAAGATTTTGTTACCATCTTGCGTACTCCATGGGGGATTTAGTCTTTAATAATACATATGTCATCAGCACTAAGCATTTTATTGGAGAGATGATTTCAGTGTAAAGGATGATCAAACACTGGAATATATTTTCCTAGGACTTCCTTTATTCTGTTTTTTTTTTTTTCGTTGAGTCTGGAAAGAACTATCCAGAAGGATAGATGTAGGGGCATGTGAGTGTTTGTGCATGTATATGCCTGCTCACATGTTCATACATTTGTAAAGGTGTCTTTTTGGTTTATTACTTATCTTGCATATATTTTAGAGGTCATTTTTTATTAACTTCAATAGGAAAGTTACATCTGCATCAAACAATATGGCAGCATGTATTTATTAACCAAGTTTCCTGTCCTTTCACATTGTTTTTAGCTATCTCTTCCTCAGAATATATTTGCCACCATTGTCAATTTGATAAATTAGAATTGGGCCTAAAGCCAGTGAAATAATTCAACGTGTTTTTAACATATGAATATATTAAAGAATATGCAAGAGAAATGTTTCAAGCAGTGTGATTATAGATGTTTTCTGTATATAGAATATTTAGAATGATGGAGGTTTACCCCTATGATGCTCATTTAAATACTGACTTGTCTTGTAAATCTTTGTCTTCTAAATTATGTACTGTTGTTGGTTAAATAGAGCACAATGTAGTTTTTCTAATGACCAGTTGTATTTGTTCTTTTATTCTGTTTTAAAACAGCATCCTTTTTACCAGCATACAATTGTTATTTAGCTAGAAACAATACAATATGAATGGGAAATGTTCTTTATTAAGATCAATACATTATCTTTTTAAACAAAGATCCTAAAAGTGTATTGTTGCAAATATGAATCTAAGGAATAGTTCAGTAATTATTGCCTAAAATGTGAAAGCATATTTTGTATCCTAAAATGAATGTATCATATTCTAAACATCTCTTTTTGTATAACAAACAATTGAAACATTTCCTTCTAAATATATGTTATTTAATAGTTACATGTATTGTAGTCATTCTTTCTAAATTCTTTGCTAGTCATTTCTTCCTGGGAATGCAGAGAAAAGAGACAACTTTATGAGTTGTTTCCAACTTCATAATTAAATTTTCTATGTTAATGTAACATAAATTAGAAAAAATAAGTGATTCAAAAATGAAAATATTTACTTTGTAGAATATGACTTTAGACATCACTGTATCCATCTGTACTTGGCAGCAACATGAGAAGTGTGATACATGTGTACCCAACAAATTCAAAGTTGCGCTTTTCAAGATTTGAGAAAGTACTAAAACTTAGTACTAAGATATGAGAGGGAAAATATGTGTAAACCTCTTAGTGCTATTTTCACTGGCTAAATTCTTTATTTCTTGACTTTTTAAAAAATTTGGTTATTAAAATTAAAACAATATGCTAGAAGACATTCTGGCAGAAATAAGTCTATAACACTATTTTTGTCACATATCTTTTCCTTGGAAAAATTTATCCAACTATAGAAATCTTAAACCATACAAATTGTTCTTGTTAAAAATGACTAATACTGGAGGTGCTCAATATGCATATAGTGCGTTTTTCATTGATAATTTTTATTTAGTTATTAAGAAACCTATTCTTAATGTTGGCATGTCATATTTTTCTGTTTCTATAATCAGAAACTGTGTAGTCTGTTATACCATAAAAAAAATGGGAAGCTACTTTTGGAATGTAACATGTTAACATGACAGCATACTCCTAATAGTCATCTTAATCTTCCTAATATAAGCATTCACATGTGGTTATTTGTAGGAAATATCTCTACTTATGAGATGTTTTTTGGTGTATTTTGTTAGAATTGGTGACACAGTAAATCATTCTGCTTTTGGATTTGCCTCACTGCCTGCATTCTTCTTTGATTCTGGTATAGTAAAACCTATTATTTAGTATTAAACTTAATAAAAGAGCATTTAAGAGAAGTGACATTTCAAACATCCACAACACAACTGACTTTTGAAATCCTATGCTTAATAGTCTTTGTAATTCTAAAAGACCTTTTGAAAACTTTAAAATATTACATTATATGTTGTAATGTTGTTACATGAATTTTATAGTTATGTATATTTTATAGATCTCTATATCTTTGTAAGTTACTTGCTTGTATGCTATATAATTGCTTTCTCAGTTAACCATACTGTTTATGGAATTGTATATATTGATTTTTCTATTTTTACATTTTAAAAATAAAAGTTTAGGGAATTTTAAGGAAAAACTCACATTTTATTAAAAAGACAAGGGATATTATATAGGAATTTTAAGCTAACTTTTAATGGAAAGGACATACATATTTGAATGATGGAGCAATTATAGTATAGTTAAAAATGTAAGTCCCTGTTTTAAATTTTATAGTATATAAATATATGTGCTAATGAACCAGTGACTCTGCAGAGAGGAAGTCACTTAGAGTAATTCATGATTTTGATACAGCTATAGATCATATCTTATTTTACATATTACTTTTGACTTCCTGTTTAAGTTGTTATCAGTTAGGAGAGAATTGTGTACATTAGGCTATGTTTACTGCAGATTATGTAACATGCTTTTATCAGATTATGGTTTGTAGTGCTTGCAGATATAAAACATGTACCTTGATAAGCTGTAATCACTACCAGGTTGACCAGCAAGGACAAACATGAAATGCTTACAAAAAAGAAAGTACTTTAAAAAAAGAAATAGAAGGTAATGAGCATATATAAAACAAGCCAAGCAAGAGAAGAGCAAAGAGAATCTGCAGAGTAGACATGGATGTATTAGTTTCTGATCATGAGAAGAAGCTCTTGTCATATCCTTCCATTTTTATTTTAAAGTTCTATAAACTACTGAGGAAAATTGATTTCTTGGATGTACTTAATAAAGAATAAATGCTTCATATTGGAGCCACTGTGCACTTAATCATTATTTATTCTGCCAGTCAGTCATTTGTACAGGGTGAGTGGCACTACCCTTGCTGTAGGCCAAGGCTCTGAGATATTCTAGATTTTTCTCACACTCTCTATTATCCACTCAGTCTCAGGTGTATTGGTTCTTGAATTTATCCATTGGTTCTTTAAATTTCTCTCATTCACTGTTTTCAATGCTTATGCCTTAGTTCAAACTCTTACCACTTGTCATGTGTACTCCCCCTCATCAACTCTGCCTCCTTCCCAATGCTGTTTCAACCCATTGATGTTGGAATGCCCTTTTGCAATATACATTACTTCCTGAATAAAATTCTTCCCTGATACCTCATATCTCTCAGAAAAGTTCAAGCTCTGACCTTAACACATAAAACCTAAAAGATCTGGTTTTCTTAAGCTCATCTCCCTATACTCAGCTCATTCCCCACATTCTTCCAGTCATTTTGAACTATCTAACAGCTTTTAAAATGGATTGTGAGGTTTCCAACCTCTGAGCTTTCATATCTATTCTGCTACTTTTATCTAAAATTATTTTCTGCACTTAGTGCATTAAATTAATTCATACGGATCTTCAAATACCTCCTTAAGAATAATGTCTTCTGAAAAGTTAAATCAGACAAACTCTTGAATCTGATATATTGGGATCCCATTGGCACCCTGGGTGTACCTTTACTGTAGAATTCATCACTTTCTACTGTAATCATAACTCTGCTTGTGTTTCTCTCACTAGACTGTAAACTTCTTGAAGGTAAGAACAATATCTTATTCAGCTTTGTGATCCTGGTGGGTGTCTAGCAGTGTCTGACATGGGGTAGGCTTTAAATCAATTATTAGTCGGCGGGGTAAATGTGTGATTTATTGAGCAGAAATTGTCAGGGTTCTTGTTTTGGAGCACTTTTGCATCGAAACACTTTAGTAGACTTCACGTAAATAGTATGAACATGCAATTTTGTGCAAAATTCACCTATGGAGGCAGTAAGTTACCCTAATAATGCACAGAAGGCATGTTCTAGCTGGCCACTTGTCCACAAAGCCTCACTGCTTAGGGGCTACTATACTCACTCTCATTTTTTGGAACTCAGTCAACATCAGCTAATTAGGCTTCTAAGCATAATTAATTCCACCCATGAAAATGGTGTGCTCTTAGAGCTTTAAAGGAATCTTGGTCCACCCATGGATCAGAAAGATTTCTGGTTGTTCGACTGATTAATAAAGTAAGCAGACCCTGTCCTGGAATGTTGCTGCTACTTCCTTTTTGAACCTTTCGTGCAGAGTGATGGCTGAAGTCTCTAAAGGACAAACTGCTGGGATTGTACTGATTTTACAGAACAGATTGTGTAAACTTTTTTGGCCTCCTTGCTAAGAAATGTTTGTTTAATAAATGTTTATGTGGCAGAACTTATTCTCAAATGTATGTCATTACAACCTAGAAATAAGGCATGGGGTAGCTAATTTCCACCTACCTCAAAGACTTTTTTGCAGAGAGGCCCATGGTTACCTACCACAAGGAACCTATTACTTGTGCATGGCTTAATTGGCTTAAGTCAGTTCATAGCTGCCGTTCTCTGTCAGACACTGTAGTATGCATCACAGACCCAAAAATGGCATGGCATTTAGGCATATACAGTGCCTAAAATAGTAAAGTTAAAGATTCAAATACCAGAAGTCCATAATTGATACAACATGGACATAAACTATATATAGCAGAGCATTTAAGACCTGCAAATGTTATCCTAGGGGAGTAATAATAATTCACTATTCTGAAAACATATGATTCATTAAGGTATTATTGAAATGCAATGGAAGTATTTTAATATAAAATACTGAAATGGTAAAAGATTTTGGAGAATTGATTGTATAAATTGTGAAAATGTACTAATGGATACACATTTTCAGATTTCTCTCTTTAATCTTATATAAGCTGATTTGTATAATTTTTGAATAGCCAAGCAAAATAAAGCCATTTGGAAGGATTTGAAGAAGCAATTACCTATCCAGTGGACAAATTTTATTCAAGGAGAAAAAAAAAATCAAGTTTCTTTTTGCTTTTAACTTTCCCTTTTATCAAGTTAGGATGGGACTTCCAAGCCATGTCTAAATGAATTTAGTTATAAAGTGTGAAGATTCTCACCTTCGCAAATACATGTTGAATTTCCTGGAAATGTTTAATGATGATAAAGCTGATATGAAACAAATGACTGTGTTTCAAGGAAATTGTGTTTCTCTTATGAAAGTTGCATATTTAGTAGCTGAAGAATTTTATTGAGGAACTTTTTAGAAAACATGTTATAAATGAAAAGTTATTTTGAGGAAGCATTCAGATGACCGTTTTATTAAGAAAAAATATGTACTTATATTAGTATTTTAATATAAATTATGTGGAATGAGCACAGGCTTTGAAATCACTGAATACTGACTTCAGACTTGAGCTCTTCTACAAATTAGCTGTATGACTTTGGGAAGCTATTGAGTCTCTACTTCAACTGCAGGTTGATGTGTGTATGGAATAGATATGGATATAACAGAGATGCAGATATAGGTATAGTACTTACCACAGTCTAGCACATGCACGTGCACACACACACATATATGTATTCCGAATACTCTATTTCCTCTGTTTTCTTCAATTAATTAAAAGCTTCTCTTTTTTTTTCCTGATTATCCTGAATGGCAATTATAAGAGCTATTCTTTTAAAAAAATATTTTTACTAGGTAGGAATAATTTGTATGCCACCACTTCCTCCTGAATTTAATAAGCCTCTCATTATTATTAATTCTCTTTCTTCAGCAGAGTCCACGAAAGATAATCAAAACCTTGTATTAGGGCTATTAACTCTTTTCCTTCAAAGCATGTAACAAAGTGGCAGCTTATAAAAGGAGTTAGTAACAAAATTTGTTGTTATTCAAAGTAACTGGAAAATAATACATATGTGAGGCTAATTTTATCTTTAAAGACCTTAGGCAGCATTGCTATTTTCTCTGGTGTACACACTAAGACCACTGATGACACTGAATTCTGTAACATGTGTTTTCCAAACTCAGCTGCAATAGTATCTCTCATCCCATATACTTTTACATAGTGAACTTGACTTTGCATCAAGAGATGGGCTCTATGTCCCCTCTGCTTGAATCTGGGTGACTTGTTAGTCTCTTGCAGCCACTAGATTTTGTCTAAAGTGATACTGTGTTACTTTCCAGACTAGGCAAAAAAATGCAATGTAGTTTCTGCCTTGTTCGCTGGGACACTGAAGCCATCAGGTAAGAAGTCACACTACCTGAGACCGCCAAACTAGAGGGGCCACATACAGGTGCTCTGGTTAACAGCTACAGCTGACCTCTCAGCTGAGAGCTAACTTCAATTGTCTACATGTAAGTGAAATGTCTTGGGTTTATTGCACCTCTAATCAACACCTTACTACAATCATCTAAAAGATCTCAAGTGAGAACTATGCAGCCAAGCTCTTCTCTATTCTTGATCCCCTGTTTTGTGAACAAAGTAAAATGGTTGATTTCAGTTGCCACATTTTGTGTGTGTGTGTGTGTGTGTGTTTACAACAGTAAGTAGAGCAAATCCTTACATAGAATTTGAATAAGAGCAAGAATATTAAAAACATTTTGTCAGATATACTGAGGAGTTAATTAATACGACCCACAGTTGACAAAATTCTTCTGAGATATTAAAAGAAAAATAATACGGTAAGTCTACATGATCTAAGTTATGTGGAATAAAGTGATCTGATAGAATAAAAGAGATACCTCCTGCTCAATTACAATAAGTCAGGCAAACTTTTATCTTTGTTGTCTCACAGTCTGAGGCAGAAATTGTGAAGAACTAAATTCAGAATCGGAACCATACTATGATGGTTAATACTGAGTGTCAACTTGATTGGATTGAAGGATGCAAAGTATTCTCCCTGTGTGTGTCTGTGAGGGTGTTGCCAAAGGAGATTAACATTTGAACCAGTGGAGTAGGAGAGGCAGACCCACCCTCAATCTGGGTGGGCATCATCTAGTCAGCTGCCAGCATGGCCAGGATCAAAGCAGACAGAGGAATGTGGAAGAACTAGACTGGCATCTTCCAGCCTCCGTCTTTCTCCCATGCTGGGTGCTTTCTGCTTTCAAAGATCAGACTCCAAGTTCCTCAGCTTTTGGACTCTTGGGCTTACATCAGTGATTTGCCAGGGCCTCTCAGGCCTTTGTCCACAGAGCAAAGGTTGCACTATCGGCTTCCCTACGTTTGAGGTTTTGGGACTTGGACTGGCTTCTTGGCTCCTTAGCTTGCAGACGGCCTTCACCTTGTGATCACCTGAGTCAACTCTCCTAATAAAGTCCCCTTCATATATACATCTATTAGTTCTGTCCCTCTAGAGAACCTTGACTAATATACTTAACTATCTGTGTGTGTGTGTGTGTGTGTGTGTGTGTGCGCGCGCGTATGTGAGTTTGCTTGAGTAGGTTCTAATAGATATAAGTCCACCTAGAGTGGAAAAGGAAACTTTTGAGAGTTTCTTCTGAGATAGAGAAGGGAAGAGTGTTTCTGGTTCTGAGGGCATAGAGCCATGTTCCCTGTTTTCTGGCAGCAACTGCCTGGGGAGATCCTGGGCCCTCAGAGGAGAGTGTCTGTGTGGCGAACACTAGGCACCCAGGCTGTTAATCCCAGATACGACTCCCAGGTTTCAGAGATATCACCTTCAAGGGACCATAAGGGCTTGAATAATTAATTTATTAATTCACACAGTTATCACTTTAACCATTTGTTCATCCAACACATATTTATTGAGTAGTTTTATGAGACAGACACTGTTCCTGGTTCAACAGATACGACCATGAACAATATGCGCAAATTGCCTGCCCCATACAGTTCAATTTATAGTGGTAGGAGACAGTAAGCCAGTAAACAAATAAGATAATTTAGTTAAATCCTTTTAAAAAGAAGAAAAAATAGATAGCATGAGCAGAAAGTGAATAGGAAAGTTCTT